GGGTCTGCGAGGGGGCCCAGGCGCCGGGCGGCCCAGGGCACATGGCCCTGCCGGCGGGGAGCGAGGCTTGGCCATAGCGTCAGGCCCTGGCCTTGTTTGTATGAGGTGCATGTTGGTCCCGGGGACACCCGTTCCAGGGAGACCGTTCTAACGGTGCAGGCACGACTGGCGTGGTTTTAACGGGATTGTCTTGAATTCTCCTAGGTTCAAGAGTTGCTAGAAAAGGCATCAGACTCTAGAGTAAGTACACAGTTCCTTGTATATTCTCTCTCCTTGTACAGCTGTGTCCTGAGAGTTGTTCAGCAAAAATCCTGGGTTTTGTTAGGGATTTGGCGATGGAGGCTGTTTGATCCTTGACTTTTCAGATAAGTGGTGGGGTTATTCTTAGCTCTTTGCCTCTGCCCTGTTCCCCCTCCTTGCCTTGCTGGCTCCAGAGGATTCTGTGAATACTCATAAAGCATTTGTCTGAACAGCGCTTTACATTTTGTACTTTCTGCTGTAGGAGAGGCACAGTCCTCCTTTGAAAAAATGGTAATGCTCAATTTGAGGAAAATGCCATTTTATGACTGTTCAGTTACAAAAGAGCCTTACCTTCCCCATTCACCCTGTAATGCTCTGCAGCCACAGCCCTGCTCCTCTCCAGACAGTGAAGCAACCTCAGCGCACACCACAAGCGCGGCCTGAGCTGTATCTTTCCGAGTAAACAAATGAAGAAGATTGGGTGTCTGGTATTTTGTTTGTGGGCAAGCTAGGACTTAAGTACTGTGTGGGGGAAGAGGGAATTGTCATTCAAACCTCGCTGTTCCTCTCTGCTTTCAGATTCTGTCGTCTTGTCCAGAGATTAAATGGCATTTTATTGGCCACCTGCAGAAAAATAACGTCAACAAGTTGATCGGTAAATCCTGTTTAATTTTATGTGCAGTGACCCTGCATGCATCAGTCGTCCAATGTTCAAATAAGAAAATAAGAACAACTTTGTGTGCCTGTCTCTGTGAGCAAGCTGACTTGTAGGTACAGAAGTTTCTGCGCCAGCAGAATTGCCCTCAGCCTGTGTTTTCTCCCCAGCTGTCCCCAACCTGTTCATGTTGGAAACGGTGGATTCTGTGAAACTGGCAGACAGAGTCAACAGCTCATGGCAGAAAAAAGGGTCGTCTCAGAAGCTGAAGGTCATGGTGCAAGTTAACACAAGTGGAGAAGACAGTAAGTGGCTTTTTCTGACGATATGCAGGTTTGTCCTGCTGACTCGATAGAAACAACCTGAATGGGATGGGTTGGTTTGCACTCTTAAAGCGTTTCTCTAAGTTAAGGTGAAACTTGATCATCTCTTGGCCTCTGGCTGGCTGCAGGGAGGGGAGCTCTCTGGCAGAGCTTTACACAAATCTCCCCACTTTTTGCCAGGTAAGCACGGCCTTCCTCCCGGAGACACCACGGCTGCTGTGGAGCACGTCATCAACAAGTGTCCAAGCCTGGAATTTGTGGGGCTGATGACGATCGGCAGTATTGGGCATGACCTTAGTAAGGGGCCAAATCCTGACTTCCAGGTAAGATTTTCTAGAAGGAAATGTCAGCTGTTGTCTGGGCTCCCGTTACAGCCCGGTGTGTGTCCCAGCCAAACCCGGACGCAGTCAAGCTGTAAGTCTGACTGTAGATTGTCAGTAGAAACACCTTGTTTAGAGCAGCACAGACCTCCGAAGCATCAGTGTTAGTGCAGGTGTTAGGCTCAGTCCTGCAGAGGCCGGGTGCCTGTGTGTGGGGGGTTCTCTGAAGCTGTAGCTGGGATATCGGCAGGGCAGCTGGTGCAGCAGTTGGTCCTGCGTTCAGGTGAGGTTTCAGTCAGCCTTCCTTTGCACGCTGTGCGCACGGGGCTGCATCAGGCAGAGGAACTGGGTCTGCGTTCCTCTCGTCTGTCGTGCTGGTGTGACAACTGGTTGTCTCCAGAAGATGCGTAGACTTGTAAGTGCTTGTGTTGTCAGGAACATCGCCTGTAATGGGAAATCTACAGGCGCTGTTACGATGCTGCAGAGCAAGTGTCAGTGGGAGGGATGGGAATTGCATGTTCTGTGTGAAAGAGACTTCAAAGAAAGGCAGAAATTGTGATCTGTGAAACCCTGAAACTGAGCTGGCGTGGCTGTCAAGCGTGTGATCCTCTCTTCTTTCCTCCTCCCTTTGAGATGCTGCTGTCTTTGCGGCAGGAAGTGTGTGAAAAGCTGAATCTCCCCGTTGAGAAGGTGGAGCTGAGCATGGGCATGTCCACAGACTTCCAGCACGCAGTAAGTCTGGTTTCCTTCTGCCACCCCTTCTCTCGGGAACCCAACGTACCAGCACCAGCGCTAGGCACCCCGAAGCCCAGCCCAGGCATCACCCAAATGGGCCTCTTAGGCCTCCCCTTGGATGGAGATGCTGATGGTGCTGTTCCACACAAAAAGCAGCTCTCCTGCTCCTGGGGTAGAATTCTGGGGGTCAAAACAGACCCTGGCTGTAGCTGCGGGCGGCGAGTACGTGGGGAACTGTCCTTCTGTGGCATGGCGAGCCATGTCGAGGTTGGTTACGGGCTGTGTTGGCAGCTGTGGGTGGCAGCCCTGCCCTGAACTCCTCCTTTCTGTCTCTTCATAGATAGAGGTTGGATCCACAAACGTCAGGATTGGAAGCACTATTTTTGGAGAGCGAGATTATTCCAACAAAGCAGTCGGTGGCAAGGCCCCTGCTGAAACTACAGGCAAAACGGAGACCTTGACAGTGCAGGGTCATTAGATGGAGGAAAAAAAAAAAGCAGCCTCAACAGAGGACAGATGATGGGCGACCTCACTATGCATTCTTACCTCCCTCCGTGTCGGCACCCGATCGTGATGGTGAGAGGGGATTCCTCGTAACAGAACAGAGGCCAGAAATGCCTCATAATTTATTGTGATTATATAGAGTACCCATAGAAACTGGAAATTTTTATAACCAACAAATGGTAAGAGAATTGGTGGCTGAAAGCAAGCGTGGTATCCTGGCTCCTTCAGGGTCGTTAAGAACAGTGACTTGTGGATGACTAGGCTGCATAAATTAAACACTTGTCAGGATGGAGTTGCTAATGAGCAAGATGTATCTGCAGTGGTGTCGGTGATTATGTTTTCACCAAGGACTAAATTCTTCATTAAACAAGTTATAATCTTGCCAGAGACCTGTAAGCGTTTCCCCAAATAAAAGTTCTTCACGCGGTCACTGCTGAGGGGTGCTTACGTAGAAACTGTGATAGAGGCACATGGTGGCACTGGAGAGACACTGTCTGTGGAAACAGGGGACGAGTAACAAGCAGGCGAGGATGGGTAAGGAGCGCAGTTGCCAGCAGGAGCTCATGGCGTAATGTTTTGGATGCAGATTGCGAGGGTGGGGGTGGCTTTTTGGCTGAAGCTGATGTTTGGCCTTTTCAGGCTGACACTGCTAACTTTTCCCATTGGTTCCGTGTCTGCTCAGATCTTCTGGGATGCTTTTGACCTTCCCCTTCCCCTCTTGTGAAGTGTCATTGGGAATTATTTTCATCCTGTGTAGTAGTTCTTGACGCTGTAAGTTCTTTTTGGTCAGAATGGGGCTTTTCTGCAAGGTCTACCATCAGCTTGCTGTCGCTTTCCAAGGCAAGTCGCTTCACCGTTCGGTGCCTCCACCGTCCCGTCTGCATCTGTATGAGGATAATAACGCTCGCTTGTCTCGCAGGGCAGCAGTGAGGTTTGCTACAGGCCCTTTGGGAAAAGTACTTCAGAAAGTCAGGTAGCGTTCTTCCTAGTGGTCTAGGTTCCTGAGAAAAAAAACCCAACCGCCCCTGACAGAGCTTCTAGGTGATGTCTGAATATCTTAAGCGCTAGTCTAGCCTTCCCTTCTCCTGGAAGAGGGAAACCACTCCTTCCCTGCAGGAATGGTTTAATTCAGATGTGAGCAGCAGCTCCTGCGTGGCCACGTGCAATTTGGCCAATGCTAGCTACGGCCAAGTCTCTCTCGTAACCTGCGTTACAACTACATTTTGGGGCTTTTGTGTGCTGCTAAGAGGAGGAGACCATAGGTTGCCAGCAGAAACATCTTTCCCAGGCTTTTCTCTGTGTGCGTGTGGTTAAATCTAGCTGTTGGTTTTACTCTCTGACTATAAAAGCTGAATGTAAATGAAAAGAGTCGACTCTAGCACCAACCTGTCATAGCTACGTGGTTTAGAAGCAACATGCAGTCTGAGCTGCCCTCCTCGGCACTGCGCCATGTGTTGTTTCGTAGTCCATTAATAAAAAGTGGTGAATTTTAATACCATCTGTGCCAACTATAAAGCTATTAAAGATGTTATTTTTATGTTCCAGCGTTGTGAATAAATGCCCTGAGTTGTCGTCGAAGCTATTTCCCGAACCTGGAGCTGCTGTTGAGCAAGGCTCGCTCGTATGGGGTGGAGGGAGGAGGGTGGCCTGCCAGACAGCTGAAACAGAGCTGGCAGAGAAAGCGAAGCTTTCTTGGGTCACAAGGGAAGGAAAAATAGCTGCCGAGGCGGGGAGATGTCGGCTGGCGTGAGCTGTTTCTGGAGGAGCCCTCTGGGTGGCACTGCTCCCCAGCGCCGGGGCAGCGCCAGCCTCCAGTCTCAGAAATAACTCTGTCTCCTGTCTGATGGTCGAAGCGAATCCTTTCCTCTTCCACCTCTTTCTTCCCAGAGTTTCAGCGCCACGCAGCCGACCCCAGATCCTCGTGTTTGCAAGCTTCACAGCACGAAAAGCCTTTTCGTTCATTTTCCAGAACAAAGCCAGGGCACCCGTTCTATCTGAATTTGATCCCCATGTGCAAAGACTGCCGCTGTCCCCGCAGCGCTCGTTTGCTGCTGGCAAAATGTTGTCTAGAGCTTTCCATAGCAAACCAGGAATGGAAGTGATCTGCTGCCTGAGCTTGCGGAGCTAGCCCAGCCCCGGAGTGGGCGCCTCTGAGCCTGAGGGGTGATTGGGGACCCCCTGCCCCGCTCACCCCTCGACAAGGGCCCTTTCCTGCCGGCCTGCAGCTCCAAAACCAGCTGCGCTGCCCCAGTTCTTGCTCCTCAAGCACGGCACAGCGCGGCAGCAGAGAATCGTCTTGCCTCATGGCACATGTCCCCTCTTGCTTTTTCCTCTCCCGGGCATTTTGTGCTTATTTCCTGAGTTGAAAGTGGATGCTAGCCAAGCTTCACAAAGTAGTGAGTGGTGTGAGGTGGGCGGGAGTGTGCACGGGTGGCTGTGGGGCAGGGCAAGGCCCATCCTGGCTTCTGTGCCCTTGAGCCCTGGCTCGGCACAGCGGTGTTTAGGAGCAGCCCGGCTCACGAAAGCATGTGGTCTTCTGCTTTTCTGATCTGCCCGCACGCTGTCTGCCAAAACGTTTAGGGCTCCATCAGCTTTGCCGGTGGCCTCCTGCATCAGACCGGGGCAGAGCTGCGTGTGTCTGGGTGGTTCTGGAGAGCTGTGCCGCTGGGGATGCTCTCGGCCGTGGGACACCGCTCTCCGGTCCGGCTGCGGTGTGTCCCGGCCACGCAGGTGGCCTGCGGGGAAGCAGCCTGGGTGCCTGAGCAGCAGCGCCGGCTGCAGCTGCGGTGGCCGGGGTTGGGCTGGGACAAGGCTCCGGAGAGGGGCGAGAGCTTCTG